TTTTTGTTCTGGTAATGGTGTTGGCATGCTTTATGAGGACGGTTATTTCTTTTAGTTTGGAGGCTATTTGGTTTGGGAGATTTTGTAATTTTTTTTTCTTTGATAAGAACACATTAGCATTGTGAAAGAAGAAATTCACCATTCTTTTTTCTTTTTAGGAAAAAATTCACCATCCTTGAACAACCTACTTTGTATATATATATATATGTGTGTGAACATTTGAGAGAGAGATAAGGTTAAAAATAGGTTTTTGACCACAGATGTTAGTGAGTTAGGATTAGTTGAGAGGGGAACCAAATTTTTTGCACAGGGAAATGAGATAAGGAAGCTCTAATAGTCTTTAGGAAGGATCGAAACAAAATTTTTAAAGGTTTTATGTGTACTTAGTGAATATTTTTCTGGTTTCTTTGTAAAAAAAAGTTAAAAATTAATTAAAAATAGAAAAGATTTTAATATTGGTGTAATATTAACTTACATCAATGATAAGAAAAAATTAAGTATAACCACTTAATAATTTGTTTTGTATTAGGGGTAAAGTTTCTATTATTAACATAATAGAAAAAATTACTACACAGCATATACAATTGAATAATCTAAAGTGATTTTAAGCATAGTAAAGAAAACAATTTAGGGTTTTCAAGCAAATAGGGGATGAGGAAGAGAGGAAAGAGGAGATGTGTAAGAAATTTATATATTTTTTTATCAATTTTTTGTAAAATTTTTTTTTTTTTTTTACCAATCATAAAGTTTAGAGATTAAATTTTTTTTATATATTTAATAAACTCACTAATAGTTATGTCAATGTTGAGTTTAAATTTTACTATTGTAATTTATACAAGGAACAATTATGATTTTTTGAGCAACTCATGATGATTATTATCAAAAAGGTTAGGAATATTAGTTGAAACAAAATAAAAATTTTGGAAAAAAAAGTCTCATATTTAAAAGATTGATGACTAGTGATAGAATTTATATGTAAAATTTTTAAAGATTTGGAGTTGTATTGAATTTTTTCCAAAAGTTCAGGAGGGACCACGCCCCCCGTCTACACATGGCTCCACCGATGTCGGAGGTGCTAGGTAGGTGGGGGTGGGACAAAAAATTTTGCAGCTAAAAAAAATAAAAAATTGAGGAAATCATAATAGACAAATAGGGTTCGACTAGGTTTAGGGTTGTTTGATTAAAAACCAAATTGAACTAATTTTAAACAATTTAAATTTTGGCTGTTAAGTGTAAAAATAAAGATAAAATAAAATAAACCAATGACTAGGGTGAGTATAACTGAAAAATTCAGTACAAAAAACTTTTATATGAATTTTTAATGATTTCTAGATTTTTTTTGAGGTTTTCTATCAACTTTTCAATAATTATTTATTTATTTGGGTAATTTTTAGTTTTTTTAGTGACTGAAATTAATAAAATAATAATTAAAGAATTCAAAAAAATAAAAAAATAAAAAAATAATTTTTTAAATTAAAACCAAAATTGATCCGAATGATTACTTTCAAAAGATTACTTTCAAAAGTGTAACTAATATCGATAAAACTCATCCTCCTCAATTTAGTTAATGGTTAATAAAATTTAAAAATTAAAATTTTAATTAACCGATAATCTAACTTGGTTGTAATCGAAGCTGAATCATACCCACCCTAATAGGTAGGTCCCACAATGAAAATGTTTATTATTTTTATCCTTATCTATATCATAATATTTTAATCATTTTTTAATTTTTTTT